AAAAAATGTTCAGTATCACTTATCCTTAGGAAATGTAAATCAAAGCCATAATGAGATGTCCCCTTGCTCCAGTTAGAATGGCTACTATAAAAAGGCAAAAGATAGCACAAGCTTGTGAGGAGGTAGGAAAAAAAAGAGAACACTTGCACACTGTTGCTAGGAAAGAAAATTAATACAACCATTGCGGAAAAAAGTAAGAAGTTTCCTCATGCAACGGAAATTAGGGCTCCACATGATCTAGCAGTCCCACTACCAGGTATAATTTAAAAATAAACCAGTGTGTTCAAGAGACATGTGTACTCCCTTTTGTATTGTAGCACTATTCATAATAGTACTATCCACCCAAAATGGAAACAAAATAAGTGTTCATCAACTGATGAATGGATAAAAAAGTACATTTACACAATGGAATACTTTTCAGCCATAAAATGATGCAATCCTGTCATTTGTGTCAGCACGGATGGAATTGTAGGTCAATATGTGAAGTGGAATAAACCAAGCACAGAAAGAAAAGTACTACATGATCTCATTCATATGTGGTATCTAAAACAGTTGAACTCATAGAAATTGAAAGCAGAATGGTTTCTAGAATCTGGGGAGAATGAAGGACGATGGTAAGAAAGTACCAAGTTAGGTGAAAGAAGTTCTGTTGTACTGCATAGTAGGGTGACTATAGATGGTAGTAATGTACAGTTTATCTTTCTAAAGAAGAGAAAGGATTTTGAATGTTTTCACTATAAAGAAATAATGCTCAAGTGTATAGAAATATTTACTCCAATTTGAACATTATACAAGTATTGCAATTTTTAGCTATCAGTTAAAAAGTAAAAAATAAAGGAATAAATAAAAGTGAAATGACTGAGTGGCTACCAAGCAAGATGTTAAAATTAATATTACTTCTCAGTAGAAATAAATACAATAAATACTATGTAAGTAGGTACATGGTACCAGTCAAATGTATGGCCAGTTCAAATAGTTCAAGTATTTGTATGATACTCTAAACTGGAGCGTTTTCTTTAAGCAGATGCTGGCTGTGCCAATTTAATTTTTTCATATTATAAAAATAATAAAGAATTCTCATTATTTCACATTGAAAGGGCTGGGACTGAAAGGTAGAAACACAATCACAGGGAAAGATAGTATGGAAATGTTATATTTTTCAGGCAGTCATTTGGATTACTAGCTCTTCACATGTAGTGAGAAGGGAGAAACAAATGCTTAATAATATGTTTAACAACTAGGAATTCCTATACCAATTCCTTCAATTCTACTCCAATAAAACATTACCTTCATCTTTTCCCTCCTGGTTAATGTGTTAATGTGTACTGGGCCTAATCATTCAGATCTTTGTTTAACATTTTTATTTTACTTGGATTATATCAATAGCCTTTCATAGTACTGAACTGACTTTAATGAGAATGGAGTATATTTTATAGTTTGGCTATATTCATAGCTAAGCACTGGAATTCTTGCTTGAGGTTATCATTGAGACCTGAATATTTTAAGTTTTTTTTCCTTTATATAATAGAAAATTTCTGAATGTATATATCCTTAAATTATTAATGCAAATTATATTTCCAAGAATCCAGTAATGCTACAACTGTTTATAATTTTATAATATTAAAATACTTGTTTCTAAAATGTATATGTGTTCATTGTTAAATTAATATTTTCTGAGAAAACTAAATTTTATGCTTCCTTGTTTGCTCTTAAGTAATCTCAAAATAAGGATTTTAATATTAACTGAATGTTGAGTTTTAAGATTAGATGTGGTAGATTCTATCACCTTAGGCTTTTCTTTTATATCTATAATGTGTTTTGCTTTTACCAAATTCTAATTTTTGGGAGGCATAAAATCAATCTTGGTATGCAAAATGGAAATATTTGACAGTCAAGGTGATCAGCATTTATGAAAACTGATAATTATTTTCCTGTGAAAATTATCAATATTCATGAAGATTTAAGAAAATATGAAACAATGTTATTAGACAGTTTACAAATTAAAATCCATTGCCACTCCCTTTCAATCATAAGTCCTGTTCTTAACTTGTTTTCTAAGACTAAGAAAATAATAACATTTTTAAAAAGTAGTTTTCACTATAATGTGGAAGACACAGACTCATCATGTATTGGAAATTTAAGATACTGTTCTGGTTATATTCTCTTAAAGTCAACACTTATTTTCCCCTCAGTTCTGTAAATGAAGAGAGCACAGGAGCTGTGGCACTGAGCCTGTGTTCAGGATAAAAGTATCAGGGCCACCAGTGATCATGAGACTCCAGTGCCCTTCGTGTGCTCTCTCTTGACAGTGTTTACACTTTGTTGTTGTTATTGTTTGGCACAAGTGATTAATTAGTGGCATTTAACTATAGAAAAAGGTAACAGCTCAGTGTTATACTATAATGAAAGTTAGTCTTTCTATTTTAAATTCAGATTAATTTCCCTTCAAAAACAATCTATGCTTATTTAGAAATAGCAATATGAAACAGAAGTGGTTATTTTTAGTGCTTCATGGAAGAAAAAATTCAGAAAACTTGATTATACCTTGTGCACCCAACATCTGTTTATCAAGTATACTAATGGATTACTAATTAATTGAAAAATTAAAGTTCATTCTTTACACAATTTGTAGAAAGAGGCTTTCATTTGAAGACAAATTTCTCTATCAAGACATGTGATAGAAACAGGCTAATCTTGGGTGACATCAAATTAAGTGTGACTAGTTGGTAGTGGCTGATTTAACATTTGATGTAGATATTAATTCTGGATATATGACAGGCTTTGGTGTAGACTAACTAGGTTGATGTGGTGCATGCCTGCATACAAAATATATACTAAATATATGGCCTTGGAAGTTTAATTTTGTGAATATGCTGAGTTCTATCCAGACAAGAGCCTTAAATTATAAACAGAATTTTGTTTACAAGTGAGATGAAGTTAACCAGAGCCACTGAAGGAAGGAAAGATCCTCAAGGAGCTATTTAGATAGTAGCTTACAGAAAAACAAAACAACAAAAAAAATTCAGTCAGACTTGTCAATCCTGCTTGTAGAGATTGATTAGATAGTTGAGATTTTCTTCCTTTTATCCTTGGAGAAAATGAAAACAACCGGTCATCTTCCATTTTAGACTAAGCATCCATATACTTTATTACAGTTAGGTCTCCCTGGAGCCTTCTCTTCTCCAGGACAAATTATGCTAACTCCTTCAGTCTGTCCTCATAGGTCCTATTTTTCAGCCATTAAGTCACCATATTGTTCTTTCCTGTACCTTACATGGCTTTTTCAAAATTCTCTTAAAAATATAAAGTTTTATATTTGATGCTTTTGCATATATTACATATGTTAGAGCCTCATTGAGATCATTATTTCTACCTTCTAGAGATGATTACTATGACAAGTAGTTAGATTAGGGGAATAAGAAGAAAAAGAGAAGCCAGGTGAGCAATTTAATAGTGTAATGGATTTATATCACCAAAAATAGTACAATCTATGACTGGGGAAATGTTTGAAGGGTTCTTGATAAATCCATTGGGAACATACCAAAACACACAAAAAATATAAATGTAACCATAGCTACTTTAAAAAAAATTTTTTTTTTTGATAGGCAGAGTGGACAGTGAGAGAGAAAGAGACAGAGAGAAAGGTCTTCCTTTGCTGTTGGTTCACCCTCCAATGGCCGCCGCGGCTGGCGTGCTGCAGCCGGCGCGCTGCGCCGATCCGAAGCCAGGAGCTAGGTGCTTCTCCTGGTCTCCCATGGGGTGCAGGGCCCAAGCACTTGGGCCATTCTCCACTGCACTTCCCTGGCCACAGCAGAGAGCTGGCCTGGAAGAGGGGCAACCGGGACAGAATCCGACACCCCGACTGGGACTAGAACCCAGTGTGCCGGCGCCGCAAGGTGGAGGATTAGCCTAGTGAGCTGCGGCGCCGGCCTTTTTTTTAATTTTATTTTTATTTTTTTAAATTTTTTTTTGCTACTTTTGTTTTTAAATAATTTCATACTTTTTTGCTTATTAACTTTCTGTGAAAGGAAAGATTTGTAGATGGGCTAACAAAATTCCAAATTCAAAGAAAATAATATATAATAGAGGAAAATGAATACTACCAACACCCAAAAGGCAAAAGGATTCAGCATTACAGTGAAGATTGCTTAACTAAGGGCTAGAAACAGTTTTTCAAGTAGATAGTAAGTCCAGGAGGGAGGAATTTGTGAATTGTTACCTAGTGGAGACTTACTGTCTTTTCTTTCCGTAGTGCATGACGCCTGGGAAGAGTGTGCTATTGGTGTTGCTGGTTTGCTGAACTGGAGTCATGGCATTGCATTTTCTTTTATGTAGCAAACAGTTGATTTTGGGCGATTAGGATATTTAGTGATTCCAATCTCTCTATTCCACAAGGGACAAAAAGGAATCCATAACCTCATAAATATGCCAAACTCTCCTCTATAGCAATTACTGCAAGAGCAAGGCTTGCTAGGTTATAAAACCTAGGATAAAAATGCCTAAGATTTTTAGTTTTCTGTGTTGAATCTAAGTGTATTGATAATTAGATTGATATTTCTTTCATAACTTAACTTTAAACCTCAAGTCTCATCAATCCCAAAAGCAAAATTCCTGGCATTTACCCTACTCTATACCCTGGCTTCTGTACTCTGAAATGGGGTGAACTACCCAACTACTTTATGGACTCCGTAAGAGAGAAATATCATTACAAAAAAAAATCACTATTTTCTTTTTGATATCCTCCTTATAAGTCAACAATAAATAATAGGGATCACAACAAAGCTTACAGGAGCTTTAATTCCCCAGTTGGAAGGCTACAAAATTTACCCATCACTGATTTATTTTCACTTGAACGTGGGATAAAGCTATAAATTGGCCATATCCATATTGAGAAGTCAAGGGTAGATTTTAGAGGGCTCTTGCATTGAATGGTGTGCAGGGGGAAAATATTCGTATTTTGTACTAACCCCTCTTTGAAAGCTAATGCAATGTGGTCTTACCATTTTTGCAGACAGGACAACATTGTTCTGGTTCATAGACTGGGTTGACACACTCAGGAACTGCGCAGTCTGCTACAACACAGTGAACTTCATTGCTGGGCTCACAGCGACACCATTCACATGGAGAGGGCTAGGAACAAATCTAAAATTAGCCCCTTTTCTCCTATAACTTAATGCTTGCAAATTCATATGCTGTCAGAAGATAAAACATCAGTGTTTAAAGTGGCTTTACTGTTTTACTCCATTTACCATGTGCATGATTATTTTCCTCCAATTGAAGGTGACCTAGACATCCAAGCCAAGGTGGCTGTGATGTGCAGCTCAAGTTGCCATCTAAAACTAAAATACTCGTCTATGGCCTTCCCTATGTCTTTGGCTCCTACTTTCCAGAGAAATGTTTGTACAAGTCATATGTCTTCCTGGGTTGGTTCCCAGATGCCCTGTCCACCTCTGGTAAACAGAAATGACACTGGAACATATAAAATGTTTTTTTTTCATTTGTCATTTTTTTCTTCCTGAGAAATAGGAGAATTACTGAGGATGTTGAAATGATAAGAAGACACCTTTACCCTTTTATGAACTCTTTTTCAAGCGACCCTAGACTCTAAATGGTATTTTTTCCAATGTGAATTTTAGAGGAAATTGCATTTGAGATCCAAACATCCAGGTATTACCTCTTGAAAGATTTAGTGAATACCTTTCATCTTGCCTGCTTGCTTTTATGAATGAACTAAAATTGATCGACCTAAAAAGCCACTATTCACTTTAAGAGTCCAAGACCCTAAAACTGGAATTGAGAAGTGATTAATTAAGAGGGGAAAAAACATAGGAAATTTTTTTTTTGTCTTCACAGTACTTACCGACCAAGGAGTTTTTTTTTTTCTTTCTTTCCTAGAAACTGCCTATATCACAAGTAATCCAAAGCAATGGCTACTCTGACTTTCTCATCCTTTGTAATTCATGGCTCTAGTTTCTCATAAAAGTAATGTTTAGAATTATGTAATGAAAACTTGGAGCTTTTTGAAGTCCTAAGATGTCCATATTTCTCTAATCAAACCATTTGTTCTTAGTAACCTCTGACTCTGACCTGATGCCACAGTTCCTCACCAGCAACTGTGTTAATTAAAACTCTCTTGTTGTTTCTATGGCTACTGTCCATCATCTCTGTCTGCTGTTGTTTTTCCTGGAGCTGACACTTCGGGTAACACCAGTAGTTCTTAACTCAGGCAGCCTGTTGGGGTGAGCATCATTCAATTGTTTAATTATTTTTGAAAAAATCGTTTGATCTTTGCTTTCTGCATAAAGAAAACCTAAATTAAATATTTTACTTTTGTATTTAGTGAGAATAAGGTGATTAGACATAGATTATGTGGTCAAGTATTGCTATTTCTTAGCATGATCAATAAGTTTATTGATGGATACAGTTAGGCTCTTGTCTTGTGGTGTACTGTATTTAATAAGCATTTCAGCTGGATCTATTGTATTAGCTGAAGGGCTGGGATTTTACTGAAACTCCTTACTGAATATTCTCAGTAAATTAGGAAAAAGCTTAATCTTACAGAAAATTTTAATTAAGAAAACAGAAGTATAAACCAGGGCTGTGATATTGCTTCTCATTTTGCAAACTCCATTGTGATACCGAAGGCTCCTGAGCAAATTTGTCAGAGCGCGACCCTTTGCTTGGTTCAATTGCAAGGAAGTATTTTCACATAGCTTCCTAAGCATAGCAAGTATATTGTCAGTGTGACAGAAAAAGGGAGCCACTAATAATACAGTCTCCTCCACATACCACCCTTTTTTTCACAGTGAACATTTGTTCTTCCTAGTTCCCTTATTGCTGAAAGAAGAACTGGTCTGAGTAATTTTAGTGGACTGGCTCTGGGAATCAAAATTCTTGGAAAGAGCCTGTATTTTCAATGCAAAATGTTTACTTCTAAGTAACTGTGGTTTTTAAGAGAGATTTGAACAATTAGTTTACCAACACAGCCTGATGAAGAACACCATTCAAATTTAAAGTGTTTCTGAACATTGCTAGTTACTAGGTGTCATGCTGAGCAATTTACCTATATTAATTTACTTATCTCTTGTAATAACCCTCTGAAAGAAGATTCTTTTTTATCCTCATCCCATAGAGGAGACAGACGGAAAGAAAGTCAATAGCTTTTCCAGGTCCTCAGGTAGTAAGTGGCAGAGTCAGAATTTGAATCCAGGCAGTCTGCTGTACCACGCCACTACTAGACAGCAAGCATCACTATTCTGTGTACCCGCATCTTTGTAGTTGACTTCCAGATACCTTGTACCCTTCTCCATGTGGCTCACATACACAGCAATGGACGTTAGTAACTGTGTAATTGATTTATACAGCATAGGTACTTCCTGCTAAAAAATATAATTTCACCATCTTGGGTGTTTACTACGTAAGAGATTACCATGGAAATTCTGTTGCTTTTTCTTTTATTATTTGCTGCAAACTTGTTAGGAAATTATACCAGGTCAAAATTAGATTGTCGTGTGACTTGTATGCCTGGGGTCTATGGCATCCTTAAGTCCTGGAGCCTGGCATCTATACTTAGAAGTGACATGGAGAAGCATAAATAGTGGTCCAGGAAAAGAGAGAAACTGGTTAAAGGGTGTATACATGTGTACAATTCAGCATTGAGGTCCTAACAAATACTCTGGGGAGGAACTAAGGCAACAAAACGTAGCAATAAAAGTATAGTTTCGGAAGGGGCTTTAATAAAGAAAAACATAATTAGAAAAATAAAAAATTTCCCCAACCACTGGTAACTTCCAATCCTGCCTGCCTTTGATTTTTATTTATGTGCTGTGGTCCATCCCATCCTAACCCAGAATCTTTTGTAGTAACCATGCTAGTTCCCATTTTATGTTCATTACATTTTTTCTAAAATATTCTTTATCTCAGTCCCTTTCTTCATATCTCAAGCTTCCATGGGACCCTCTTCTTCTGAACCCTCAAATGTAATCCATCAACTTCCTGCTGAGGTCCCTGTCAGTCCCTGCCAACCTTCTCAGGGCACTCTCCTTTCATGCTCTCACCAAGTTTGACACCACTGTTATTCTCCTTCTCAACTTGACTTTCTCGATTGCCTTGGCCTTCCCCTGGTTTTTGGAAAAAATATCATTGATATAGTGATCACTTACTAGGAGTGAGCAGCGAGCTATTTTGACATTAAGATCAGCCTTCCGAAATCCTCCCCCTCCCCGCCCCTTACAGTGTCAAACTCTGAAAGGTTGGGCTCTTTGCATAAATCTTTATGTCTTAAGCACTGAGCCGGTTACAAACTTCCTCTTATTGGATTCTTCAATGTGAAAAATATAGATTAAATTTAAAAACGTCCCCATAAAACCAAAGATTAAAGAGTAAAGCTATCCTCAGAGGAACAAAAAAAGCTGAAACAAGCACTTGGAAAAGTTATTATTACTAGCTTTCCTTAGAAGAACATGTGAAATACTGAGTAGTACATGGCTTTTGTCATCTAGAGATTTGCTAAGTAAGATGACTAAATGACAACATCCTAAATTTTACACAGAAAAAAAAAATGTTTTTCTAAGAAATCTCACAGAACATTTTTGGTATGCAATTTTTCAAAAATAAAGTAACATTCACTATAATTTTTCATAAACTTTAACTGGAATTAGGATTAGGGCTCAAATTTACTTGCTTTCTTTAAGATTCATTTATTTATTAGGAAAAACAGAGAAAGAGAGAGATTCCATCTGCTGTTTCACTCTCCCAATGACCATAACAGCCAGGTCTGGGTTGGATCGAAGCCAGGAGCCAGAACCTTCATCCAGGTCTCTCCCACGTGGGTGCCAGAGGTTCAAGTACTTGGGTCATCACCCATGGCTTTCCCAGGCACATTAGCAAGAAGCTCAGTTGGAAGTGGAGTAGCCAGGCCTCAAATTGGCAATCTGATATGGGATACTGGTATTGCAAGCTGTAGTTTAACCCACTGAGCTAAAACACCATCTCCTATTTGTTAATGTATGTATTAGATGGTCTGAGTATTGTATTTCTGTTACAAATATACTATACCTCCAGGTTGGTAGTTGTGTTTTTGAATCTTTAATGTTAAACTACATTTAAGCAGGACTGTGCATTTCATCTGTAGTTCTATTACTGATTGTGTGCCTTGTTTGGCAAATATAAATCATGTCCCAGCTCCACTAAGCTACAAAGGGGCGATGGGGTAACCTGCTGTATACATTCATGTGTGTGTGTGTGTGTGTGTGTGTGTGTGTATGACGGCACTTCAAAAATTTGTGGAAATTAAATTAAAATTATTTTTTGGAACTGGAGATCATTATACTAAGTGAAATAAGCCAGACCTGAAAATAAATGTCATGTTAACTCTTATTTGTGGTAGTTAATATATAGGGAGAGTATAAAAAATTCTATTTTGCTATGATTTTGAAATTCACATATATATTTATTGTTTATTGTAACATATATAAAATATTTTATATGTAAATTAAAGGAGCAAAACAAGATCATTTAAAAATATTTGCTTAGGTGACTAAAATTCAGAATTCCATCATCGTATAGAAAGGAATCATGGCAACACATCTGCTTTAAAAATGGTTAGCTTCCAATTACCTTGATCCTGAAATCCCAAAGTCAATGTAGTTTTTGAGAATTCTTGGAGAATTTGAGGGAAGGTACAAGAATCTCAGAAATAGTGGAATGCTAGTACTGTTTTTGTTATTGTTGTTGGGAAAGCAGCCTGAGAATTCAGAATGTAGATTAATGGAATGATGGAATAATTGTGGAAAATTTACCAAGTATGTTTCTTGTGAGAGTTTGGAAGTTAAATTGGAAGGGTCATCAATAAGAGCTAATATACAATTATTAGAATAATAACTGGGGCAGGCATTTGGCATCCCAAGCAGTGGTTAAGGTGCTATTTATGACACCCACACCCCATATGGAAGTGCTTGAATCTGAGTCTTAGCTGTGGTTCTGGATTTCAGTTTCTTGCTGATATCCACTTCTAGAGGTAGCAAGTATGACTTCACTAGCTGGGTCCCTGCCACCCACATGGGAGACCCAGATGGAGTTCCAGGTTCCTAGTTTAGCTTAGCCTGGCCCTGTCTGTTATGGACATTTGG